ATAATTATTTTATTTCAGTTAGTTTTTCAATAACTGTTGTTAGTTTCGTTTCTCAAATATTTTGACGTTTTTATTTTATTTCAGTTTACAAAATAGTTTTTTTTCATCAATCGTTTTAGTCTTAGTTTTAGTTTTCGTTTACGAAAATAACCTTGGTTCCAACCCTGATCAAACACACCTGTCTGTAATTATCAAGTGCTCCTTCAGATCCTAATTAGTTGGTTCAGTTGTGTTTGATCAGGGTTGGAGCTGAACTCTGCAGGAAGGTAGATCTCCAGGAACAGGGTTGGGCACCCCTGCTCTAGACCATGCGTACGCACTCTATTACTGGAGTGAGCGAAATAAAGCAAACAGAATGATTTTAAAGTCGGTTTTACATTTGACATACACATTTATGACACTCTCAATAATGAAGTTAAACACTGAAATTTCATGAAATCATTATCCAGAAGTTACAACATTTTTATATGAATTTAAACAAATATTTGCAGTGGATGGGCTGCTTTCGAACAATTTTCCTGTGGTATGCAATTTAATTTGCAAGTTTTAATCACAGCGAGGATTGCTTGGCACATGATAATTCCACTTTAAATTGTGTTCTAAATAGCAAAACTCATGTTCTGAGAAAATACTTTTGACCAAATAATAATGATTATTTTTGTAAACTTGACTTTGTTTGATGGCTTTGGAACATAGACCGTAATGACAGATATAAGGATGTGCTCATTGATCGAACAGTCCATTGGCTGGTTTGAACAAGTTTGATGACAGTACTCTAGAACCTCTGTTCACAGGTGTCACACACAGAAATAGCCTAATGATAACCCCTTTCGTGCTCTTCCCAATATTGTGACAAACACCATATTTTAAAGACGTTTTCAAAAATGTGCGGTTTCAGTGAACTGGTGCTGCGTTTGCGTGTGGACGAACGGCCTAAGCGTGAAAAAAATCTTCGGTTTTAAAAATAACCGCGTTCGTGTGGACAGGGCCTGAGAATTTATTAGCCGTTGGCTAATATTAGACATAATTTAGTCACCCAGAGTGAAGATTTAGTCGCATATGCGAGTGATTTACTAGTAATGTAGAGGTTTGACATGCTTATCATAAATGTGGTTTATTCACGGTTAAGTCGCGTATTTACACTACTGCTCATATGTTTGGGGTCAGTAGTATCTTGCTCACCAAAGTTGCATTTATTTTATTAAAAAAATACAGTGAAAACAATAAAAGCAATATTGCGATATGCTATTACAATTAAAAATTAACTCTTTTCTATTTTAATATGTAATTTATTCCTTTGATGGCATAGCTGAATTTTCTGCAGCTGTTACTCCAGTCTTCTGTCACATGATCATTCAGAAATCATTGTGATATGATGATACTTTTGACAACTTGAATGCATTATTACTAAACTGCTAAAAAAAACACTGAATGCAAACTTTTGAATAGCAGTGTATAAATAACATTTTTTTAATGTATTTTTGAGAAAAAAAGGTCTGTACAAAATAATAAGCATCATGTCTGACTTACTCAAGCTCTGTTAGGGCCTGAAGATTCTCTAGTTTGCGGATCTGGTTGTCATAAAAATCGAGTTCCCTCAATGAGACGAGGCTGTCCAAGTTCTCAATGTGTTTGATGAGGTTTTGCCTAAGAGAAATCGTCTGATGATAGAAACAAAGAAAAGGACTCAATTTACGATCTGTAATTGGGCACAATTAATTGATACTCCAAATAAGCAAATCTTTATCCAGTAACTAGACAACCCTACTATATTACCCCCCAAAAACACCCAGCATTTGATACTCTCACCTTTGCCTTCCGAAGAACCTCCAGACCCTCAATCTTCCCAATGCGACAGTGGACCAGATCCACATCCTAAATAAATAATTAACACACAATGAATCATAGTGCTAATAACATCATCTTTCTAACCCAGGGGTGCCCAACCCTGTTCCTGGAGATCTACCTTCCTGCAGAGTTCAGTTCCAACCCTGATCAAACACAACTGTCTGTAATTATCAAGTGCTCCTTCAGATCCTAATTAGTTGGTTCAGTTGTGTTTGATCAGGGTTGGAGCTGAACTCTGCAGGAAGGTAGATCTCCAGGAACACGGTTGGGCACCCCTGGTCTAACCTTTCAAAAACTGAATGTTTCACCTCTTCATCTGGATCTAAGGTTATGGTGTCCATGTCAACAGGTGACTCCTCAGGTACTAAAAAGGGAAGCGAGAGAAGCGGTAAGGAAACAGATCATACAGATCATCCTTTTAATTGTTTTCCTCGCGCCAAGGTGGTCTCACCAGTCGAAGGGGCTTGCAAGGAGTCGACCTCTCCATTGAGACTCTTCCTCTTGGTCTCATCATCACCAGATTCCTCAGACTCACCCCTCCTGTCCACTTTAAAATCACAGTTTTTATGAATAACAATCAATAATTAGGACACACCCACAATACTAACCTGCTTACAAAATGCCACTGCTGCTATCTGGGCCAAATAATCGTGATAGCACGATTTTAATCTGAAAGCACAATTTCAAAGCCTCCATCTATTAGATGAACCCATCCCACACACACCCTCAATCCCACAGCAGCGGCATGCTAGCAAACTGTGCTGATACAGCAGCTGGAAACAAATGGAGGCGTCGAGAAAAGCTCGATTTGTCACGTCTGATAGCTCACATTCAGGTTCTCCTACACTTTATCCATCCAAACAGGTCAGACTTTGACAAGTAACTTAATGTGAGCTGGTAGGCTACATTAGCTAACCAGCAAGGTGTGCTGGCATTGACGCCCCGTCCACTACTAAACACACACCTGAACAGAGGTCTGGCATTTAAATACACTCAAAAGAGAAACCAAGAAATGAAGCAGCCTTTATCGTCGTTTCATGCGTGCAGACTATAAGAGTAGCTTCAGTTAGCTGTGTGATAAACGTAAACAATCACACATTGCAGTCTGAATGAATGGTAAGAGCACACTAATATATGAACTGATTAAAAATAAAAACTCATCTTGGTTATAAAGAGAGAGCAAAAAGAATAATCGCTGTTTTTTTAGAGTCTCCGTTGAAAATAAATCGTTAAAAATACACAAATCAGCTCACCTTCCATCTCTTGAGGCTCTCCGACAGATAAAGTCGCCATTTTCCTTTAATCCCGCCCACTTTACTAGATGATTGACACCTGGATCGACCAATAGCAAACCTGAAATCCGTTTCCTACGCCCATGGACTATTTATAATTACGCTTATATACTAAATTTAATACACGACAAAACCAAACGCAAAAAAATGCTAATTTTTTTAGCTATTATAAATAAATGTTACTATATTTTGTTCATACCAATTTATCCTCATAGAATCCTATAAATATAGAATGAATCCTTTATCCTTAATGAAGTCTTTTATTGTGAGACTTTATTCACTTTACAATGTTATTAATTTTATTACATTGTTCGGCAGACTCAGTTATACGACATAGGGAGCCCAAGCACTTCAGCCATCTAATTTCATTAAAACATTACTTTTACAATTTTAGACCCATGAATTATATAATGTTTATCAGGTCATAGTTAATGTCTAATTATGTAGTCAGAAATGTCACGTTTGTCCACTGACCTCAGATTGAAAACCATTGATTTATTAGCATGACAACGCACACAATAGGACACTGAAATGGCATAATGAAAATTTATTAAAACTATTAAAATTTCACATACTGACATGAAACATGGCACAATGAGTTCTTTGACAATCTATTAATACATTTATCTTAACAAATATTCTCTGTCTATTCTCTCTTTAAGATCCTGATAAAAGCCTAGGATATTATACAGTTTCACAGTTACACATTTTTACTACAGTTGAATGTATGCTATTACTAGCCACTGTTGATAGTATAAAGTGACAATCTGTGACACTGCAGTTTTGTATACAAACAAGCATAGCCGGTTGGATGCTTAAAGCTGAAGAAAAAAAACAACATTAGGAAATATAGTCCTTCAGGTAACAAGTTTTCCATGTTTGCAGCATTCTTTTTGTATTATGAGGTACATTTGATAAAAAAATAACCTACATAATGCCAAGACTATATATGCAATTAGAAAATATGAACTAAAATTACAATAAAATTACAACAGCATTAATGCATGCTTGTATAAATTACCATACACTAAAATGGATGCACTATGTGTTAACTCAGTGTATGATAAAAATAAAGAGCGGTAAATTGAACTTACTCCCATCTATGTAAACAACACAAATTACATATAATTACAATTCTCCTCTAGGGTGAGATGTCATCCTTTGGGAGATGAGTAACTGAGGCACCTCACTGAGGATCTCTTGTACAAAAGCACCTCATTAAGGTACATAGCGAGTTAAATAAATTCATTTGTTCATATTAAAAAAAAAAAAACAGTAGTTGGATTAAGGCACTGATTGATTGTTAGTGCCTAATGACTAAATTATTGATTGGCAAAATCATAATACTACGAGTAGGAATTGTGCTGCAGCCTGCCGCTTCATCATCATAATACCACTGGATTCTCAACTGGGTGATTTGGATTTACACAAACAAGTTGTAAATCTGTAAAATCCCCCGTGATTTAGCAAAACTGTAACTAACCTTTGATATGCGGGTTTCCAAATCCAGATTGGAAATCATACTGTTCCAAGTGTTTTTCTCAGTGACAGAGAGAACTGCCCTAAACCTGTTGACATGAACATGGAGTTTACAGAAGAAACCTGTATTCTGGTCAATCAGAGCTGGCTGTACCAGTGCATAGAGCGCTGAAGAGCCCTCTCCCAGCTCTGCAGTACACCTCTGTATGGGCCGCCCTTGTCCCAATCTGCTTTACTCCTTCGGGGAAGGAAATGTTGGTCAGTGGTTAAAAGCTTCTTCAGCTCTTCTTGGTTCCTCCAGTAACCTAAAGGACAGTTCAAAATAAAATGGGCAGATTAACCATTTAAAGCCTGACATATGAAATGCGTTTCTTTTTTAAAAAATGTTTATTGAACTTTAGGCAAAAATCAGGAAAAAAAAGTACTTGTGTGTGTTTTTTGTTAAGTATTATATTTGCATCGTGTTTTTATGGCTCATTTAGTATGATAGATGAAAATATTGAGCTCATAAAAAACTATTTTTCGAGTCCCAAACGGAGCAAAAATATGCATTTTTGTACAGTTGCTGATATTTATATGGCAGGAGTAAGATGAAGTCCTGATTCTTGTCATTTAAATCAGAGATCATTATAACAGTATAGCAGATTACTTACATAAAATGCATATAAATAAATATCAGTTGTAACTCTATATCTCCAAATAATATGTCTTAGTAAGATGGTATTTAAATGCTTAGTTTTACAATCAAAGCTAAGTAGATTTTATTGTGTGTGTGTAAAATATACAGTATAATGCAAAGCAATAAAATTATGATAGAGAGATGTACAAATAAACTTTCCTCAAAAGTCTGAAGTATCATGTTTGTTACATTTTAACAAGATTTTTTCTAGAAATTATGTATGGATAATCAAGTAAACTAGTAAAAGACACATGTACTATATGCTTTTAAAGCAAGTATAAATATATCAGTCAGACAGCAGGAGGCATGTAATGGATTGTGCACAACAGGTTTTTCAGCAAAGTTCTGCTCATGTTGATAATTTAGAGGCCTTTGAAATTTGTTTACCAACTATGATACAGAGTTAAAACGGATTAAGCCTAGATTAGGAATAGTTTATTTGCTGCACTCAAATGTGGCTAGTTCCTTACCTGTTCCTAGTCCTGCAACAAAAGCAGCTCCAAGGCAGGACATGTCAAAGTGGCTTGGACGTTCTATCTTGCGCCCCAACAGATCAGCTGTGAGTTGCATGATGAAATTATTGGTGCAAACACCTCCATCTGCCCTGTAAATGTGTAGCAATACACAAAAGTTCAGACAGGCAGGATCAAGCTCAATGCAGTACGACAAACAGGGTGAGACCTTCACCTGATTTTAGTGATAGGAATACGGGTTTCTCGAAGCATGACTTCAAAGAGCTGCTTGTTCCTAAAAATCAGAATCAGAATTGCTGTTGAATTGTGGCATGAGAATTACAGGAATCACACAAGATGTTAAAATTGTGGTTGATACCGATCCGAGTCCAACACAGTCCTGTAAAAATTTTAACTATTTTACAGGGGTTTCTTGGTGAATTGGTGACAAATTTGAGTTAGGTTTATAGGGTTCAACCTTCATGCTTAGTTAAAATGTGTTTTCTTGTCAATCATACTAAATTGCTAATACAAAAATCATACTAAATACTAATACAAATCATACAAAAAATACTAATACAAAATTATACTAAATTGTTAACTTGTTAAAAAAAAAACACTTTGCATATGCTTCTGAGATGGGGTTGGAAATGTCAAATTTTCACATTATAATGTACAGTATGAAAAATGGATATTCATTTGCTAGAGATTACATTTAACAATGTTATTAAATTATTAGTGTTTTAAAAGACTAACTTTGAGTGAGACAACAATCCAAAAAAAAAAGAAAATCCAATATCCATGATAACCATTATATCATGCATCCCAAATTATGACACATTTACAGTGCAAACATGAAGAAACAGAAACACAATTCTACAGTATATATAGTGGAGATGGAACAGAAGAACATGAGAAGAAAACTATCCTGGGCTATTGACTTTGGCCTTTATTTCTTTGATGGGGAACTTTTGGAATGGTGAGAAAGTTGGAAAGAGTCTCTATTTTGAGGCCTGATTAACTACTTTAGATTGGTATAGAATGCCAAGGGATAGTGGTTTATATCCAGTCACCTTCTCATTTCTGTTTTCTGATTGTGCACCAAGGCAGATGATAATTGAAGAACTCATTTTAAGAACTTTATGTGCCAATGTACTTTATAACCCAAGTGACATTTTCTTTCCTGCAAACACTGTTTGAGATAAAATGGCCTAAGAATTTGCAGGTTTTCTGGGGATAAATTTGGTATTTTCTACAAATTTCATAGTGTGACCATTACTTGCAGTAAAGAACTGTAGTGATAATTTAGCATTTGAGAATTCATTGCGTAGAATTCATTTTTTTGAATTAAATTAAATTAAATTGATAAAAATTAATTTAAATACAATAAATAAAAAAAATGGTGTAAAATAAAATAAGCTAAATTCTACAAACAGGATTGGATATGCTTCAAAACGCATCCGGTTGAGGACAAAGTCTATTTACATTGTCCTGCAGTGTTCTGATGCTCAAATATTTTCATTTCCACCGGCATTAATCATTTATTTGTTATCATGCGTTTTATCAGAACAAGAACAGTAACAGAAGATTTGAAGCAATCCAGCACTATGTATGAGACCTGATTGATTAATTTAGCTTGTTTTAGTGTAGATGGTCATAGTGTCAGAAATAAACTTTTGTTTTTATTAGGGGCTGATATTCGCCCATTTTTCCCAGAGCCCTGCTTATTTTCTGACTTTGACACAATCAGTGCCTTCTGACTTTTTATAGCTTTAACATGGCACATTCTTTGATTCATGAGACATCTTACTTGGATGATAGTCAGATCTTGCAAGCTCACCTGAATGCTATAGACTCCAGAATGGCTCGAACAAGATGTCTCTTGGTTGTGGAAGGTTTTAAGCCCATGAAAGAGGCACAAGCTTTAGGATCATTCAGAGGGGCCTGTAGCACATCAACAGAGAACGTCTTGAAATGACACGACACTGTATGAAATTCTCTTGTATTTACAACAAATTCTTGAGATGAACAGCGACTTAAAAACAGTACGACAGATCCAAACACACCTGTAAGCCACTGAAAGAAGGCACAAAATACACGCCGTCTGAGTCTTCCACACTAGTGGCTATAGCCTCAGTCTCCTTCACATCAGAAAAGAGCTCTGTAAGAAATCATAATGGAGTGGAACGGGCATCTATGGTCTTAAATGGCTTTTTTTTGGTAGTGAAAAATACATATTCAAGTTAAGAAATGTGTGTATGCTTGTAAATCCACATTAGTCTCCTCCTCCTCACCTAGATCTTGGGCCCATTTAATGGCAGCACCTGTTCCAGCAGCATTACCTTCAGCCAGATACACAACATCAGCACCAATCTTCCAGCCCACCAGCGGATAAAGGCCTATTCAGAAAACAGATATAAAGAGGGACCAACAAATGGACACATCACTGTCTCCTTTCTCACTCGCCACACTGCTTCATGATGAGTAATGAGTCACATCGTGCCCTAACCTGCCGTTTCCAGTGATGTACACTACAGTTCAAAAGTCTGAGGTTGGAAAGATTTTTTCCATCTTTATGAAAGTCTCTTATGTTCACTGAGGCTGCATTTATTTGATCAAAAATATTGTAAAAACAGTAACAGTGGCAAACATTAAATATTACAAATTAAAAGAACTGTTTTCTATTTTAAAGTAATTTATTTCTGTGCTAACAAACCTGAATTTTTAGCAGCCATTACTCAAGTCTTCAGTGTCACATGATCATTCAGAAATATGCTGATTTGGTGCTAAAAACATTTTGTATTATCAATGTTGAAAACAGTTGTGTTGCTTAATATTTTGTGGAAACCATGATACATTGTTTCAGGATTCTTTGATGAATAAAACAAAAAAACATTTATTTGAAAGAGAAATCTTTTGTAACAATATAAAGGTCTTCACTGTCCCCTTTGATCATTTTAATGCATCATTGTTGAATAAAATATACTTCTTTCGAAAAGAAAGGCCACTTTGAATGTCAGTGTACACTAAAAGCCACAAAATGTTTGATTTCATGCAGTCTAAAATGCTGTTTAGCTGGCTTAGATTATTAGTTCTAGTGGTTTAGTAGTATTTCTTTCAATTCAGTTGAATTCCAACTGAATACTGTGAAAAGCTTAACCAATAAGGTAAGGTCAGCACTGGAATGACATACCAGCTACAGACGTGTGTGGTTTGTTTCCTGTATTGATGTCCATGAAGGTCCCTGTGCCTATAGTAATTTTCACATCACCAATGTCAAAACAGCATTCTCCAAACATGGCTGCTTGTTGGTCTGCCATCTGTGAAAAAGACATGAAAGGTAGGGTTGTGGCACCAAATACAAAATCAAGCACACACACACACATATTATTAAAACTGCATGACAACATTTATACTCACAACAGACATGACTGGGATGGGCACCCCAAATATGGAAGGATCACATGTGCCAAATTTATGACTAAATATGAGAGAGAAAAAAAAGAGCATTAATTGTTCAGTCAAACGCAGACTAGAAAGAATTCTGGAAATACCAGAGCAATTCAGGGTGCATGAGTACCTGGTGTTCTGCACACTGGGGAGGATGGACAGAGGTATAGAGAGGAGTGAGCAAAGAAATCCACTCCAGCACATCTGATGATCACACAACACACACACTATGAGCACAGACAACATCCTATGAACAAGCACCACTTACAGAAACACGTTCTAAGACACTATATGGACAAAAGATACAAGAAAAAAACACACACACACACACATACACATACACATACACATGAAAGACCTTAAAAAGATAATTCACCCCAAAGAAATGATAGAACAATAAAAACACTTTTTTTGTGTGTGTGATATGGTTAATATTAATATATTTTTCGATAATGAAGAAAGAAATTTATGGAAAACTGTGCGCCAGAAAACCATGCGCTTTTTTTATAATATATACTGTATGTGTGTGTGTGTGTGTATATATATATATATATATATATATATATATATACATACACACACACACACGCACATGTACTGTATATATTTAAAAATAAAATACAAGTATTCATTAATTCATTCATTCATGCATGCTATAATGTATCTCCATTACAGCCATAAATTCATAATTACTGATTGGTTTATAATTTGCAAGACTAACCAACTAGTTCTTCAAAGACAAAAACAACTTTATTACTATGTAAGTACAATTTGCATTTAACATCACAGAAAACCACAAATGTGCATGTGTACATAAAAAAAATGTTAACCATTCAAATGTTTGGATATTAATAAGATTTTTTGCTTGAAACACTTCATACTGGCTCCTGGCCATCCTTATCAATAATGTGCCAAGTTGGAAAATGCGACAATGATAATAAGTACTGTAAAAACATCACTGTACATGTGACTGCTTATGATTAACTACTCATAACACTGGTGTGTGACTTTCATTCACCTTTGTCAAGGGTTGTGGGCAAACTGCTTTCTAAGAATAGTGTCAGTCAGTGATGTAAGATATCAGATCTGTGGCACGCTTTCATTGAGCAGATCACTCTGAAGAGCCTCTTACAGATCGAACAGGTTTTTATTTTAGCAACCTCTCAAAGGAATCCAGCCAGAATACTGTGCACTCAGCTATCTGATTTTCACTGTTCAAATGACTTCTATACAACAGGACAGCATTTCTATTTCATAATGAAATATCCACCTTTAGTCAGTTTGTACAGCAGCCAGGTGTCTATGGTCCCAAAATAACAGGAGCTGTCTTCGACTGCCTGCCGCAACTGAGGAGAGAAAAGGTTAGGATAAATATACTAGTCCTAGAAAAGACAAATGCTGAATGCCATATTTTAACTACTCCTGGTTTACCTGAGGGATATTGTTCAAGGCCCAGACAAGACGCAGTGACACATGCTGGGTGGTAAAAACTACCAGGCTGGCTGCAAGGAACCGCTTCTGTCTGGTGAGGAAGTGCAGCATCTTCATCACTCCATGTACCGTCTGCCATGCAAAAAAATGTTTTTAAGCAATAATAATAAAAAAAAAAATTCAAAACTTGCCGAAATGCATTTACTCTTGGACCATCCAAGATGTAGATGAGCAGATTTGAATTAACTTAGCTTTCAATCACTTGCTCACCATATTTGTTTAGAAGTGTTTTGGACTGCATTTGCTTGTATTTGGTGGTTAAACTGTGCATATTTCTCTCCTGATTCAGACAAGACGATGTTTTCACTGGAAAAAGCAATATTATTGATAGAGGACTCATATTTTAATTGGAAGCAACTGTTTTAAGTTAAAAAACGTCTAAATGATGCATTTGTTTCTTACAAACGCGCTGTTTGAACTCTCATTCTGACGGCACCCATTCACTGCAGAGGATCCACTGGTGAGCAAATGATGTAATGCTACATTTTTCCACATCGGTTATGATGAACAAAGGAAAACAAACAAAACAACAAAAAAAAAACTTATCTAAATCTGAGGGTGAGTGAATTTTCAGCAAATGTTTAATTTTTGGTTGAACTATTCCTTTAATTACAGACTTGACAAGAATATGCCCTAAGAGTAAGTTTTAAAAAACCACCACCTTCAAGCTTGACCTCTGCCCTCAGTGATAAGATACTGAAAACATTTTCCTCTGTTGAAAGTTGTTCAAGAATAACCAGTTTTATCTGCGACTACATACACTGGGATGTTTGCTCTGCAATTACATGGGTTGTAAGCTCTCACACATTCAAAAATGTCTTGTACAAACTGACATGGTTTTGTCTCTGCAGTGATAGGACAAAACTAATTAATGTGAATGCTGTTGGACCATTACATGACCACATCCACATTCACTGTCAGCACCTTACACAAATATATTGGCAATCCGTGTTCGAGCAGTCAGAGGGGTTCTTGTTTCACTGCTGTATTTGCTCATTTAGCTTAAAGGACTTGGAATGAATGAAACACTCATTCATTGACGTACACAATGAACGACAAACACTACGATCTGTCACTGTCCAAACAATACACACTTTGTTTGCAGTAATAAACTGCTGTAAACTGATATTCATTACATGACCACACTGGGTTTCACACATGAAACTCAAACCTGCCACTAAGAAGGGAATTCTGCTGACTCAAACATGAGCACTTTTAGCATGTGTAACAAAGATCCTCACAGGCCAAAAATTCCCATCCACATTCACTGTCAGCACCTTACACAAATATATTGGCAATCCGTGTTCGAGCAGTCAGAGGGGTTCTTGTTTCACTGCTGTATTTGCTCATTTAGCTTAAAGGACTTGGAATGAATGAAACACTCATTCATTGACGTACACAATGAACGACAAACACTACGATCTGTCACTGTCCAAACAATACACACTTTGTTTGCAGTAATAAACTGCTGTAAACTGATATTTATTAACTGTTATTAAATAATATATGCAATTATTTAGCCATTTGGAGATTATCAGCAACTGTGCCCACTCCTAAAAAGTAATAATCCCAATAGCTTGTCAACAAATCCATAGTTTGTTTTATTTACTTATTTTTTTGTGGTTTTAAATATTGTATGGGTTAGTAGAACCATTTTGTGAACATTTTATTTGTGGTAATAAAATTACACTACTGTTCAAAAGTTCACTAAGGAGTTTGTAAGTTTTTGAAAAGTCTCTTATGCTCATCATGGCAGAATTTATTTGATAAAAAACAAAAACAGTAAAAACAGTAATACTGTTAAAAATTATTACAATTAAAAAAAAATTGAATGAAATTTTTTTTACGTTACTTCAGAAATCATTCTAATATGTTGTTTTGGTTCTCAAGAAACATTCCTTAATATCATCAATTTTTTAAAGGGGTCATATGATGCGATTTCAAGTTTTCCTTTCTCTTTGGAGTGTTACAAGCTGATTGTGCATAGATAAGATCCCTGAAGTTGCAAAGACTAAAGTCTCAAAACCAAAGAGATATTCTTTATCAAAGTTAAGACTCTGCCACGCCCCCCATTTATTTGAAACGGAAATCTTTTGTATTATTAAAGTGCCCCTATTATGGACTTTTGAAAATTACCTTTCATGCAGTGTGTAACACAGCTCTAAGTGAATGAAAACATCCTGCAAAGTTTTAAATCTGAAAGTGCACCGTGTATAAAGTTATTGTCTCTCAAAAGAAAGAGTCGACTCTGAATCATTGAAACGAGTCGTTTTTAAAACGAATCCCAAGCCGTTTCATGTTGACGTCAACATGAAACATAACCATATTACCCGCCCACTAGTTGGTCTTTTTGCTTTGGTCTGAATGAAAATGCAAATTCATTCTTTGCCACAAGGTGCCACTTTCCCCAGGTGCCGCAGCATAAATGGCTGCCCACTGCTCCAGGTGTGTGTGTGTTCACTGCTGTGTGTGTGCACATAGGATGGGTTAAATGCAGAGCACTAATTCCTAGTATGGGTCACCATACTTGGCCACGTGTCACGTCACTTTCACGTCACTTTTGGAGCGGTAGAATAGCGGTTTCCCCAGTAACGCTATACACAAAGCAGCACTGCGCTCACAAACGCTGCTTTATCAGGCATTACAGGCATGATGCAATGAAAATGAGACCAATCGGACCAATCACCGCAGATTAGCGTCACGCAAAGGAGGGGTTTGGAAAATTGAATCGATAAACGAATCGTTTGGGAGTCGTTGAGCAAGTAAGGTAAAAATAAATGCATATTATAAGACAACAAAAGTATTTTTAGACCTTGCATGCATGTCAACCTGTTGTTGGGGACTCCCAAAACCAAAATATGAACCTTTCATAACCCATAATAGGGGCACTTTAAAACTTTTGAACAGTAATAATGCAATAATGTATGAATTGTGAATGTCAAGCCAGTATGTGGTCATTTGGATTATGCTGACTGATCTGTTCCAGTGATTGTCCAATGAGATTCTAACATTCTCTAGTATTTCTGTTTGGATCATGTCTAGACATAATACACTCCCTAATACAACAGTGTTAATCACAAGGAGAGTCTGAAATGAACAAATATATTCCAAGATGACATGCACAGCCGCCTCACCTTCATAGCGCAGGACCTGTTCCACGATCTCACCAACTCGGCTGCCCTCAGGTCCTGCCAGGTGATGAAATTATGAAACGGTTTTCCCGTGTTTCTGGAGATGATAACAAAAGAATATATGCCACCTCAGTCAGTTCACTAAGTTTTCTGCAAAACAATCACGGGATTTCATGTATACGAACCTGTCCCATGTTATGAACGTTGCCCTCTGGGTTGAGATGCCAAGACTTTCCATTTGGCACATCTGTAAGCCTGAGTCTAAACCAAAGAGATAGAAGAGGAGAGGAGTCTTGTCATTATTGTAAGCTTATTGTAAACTTATGGACCTACATTTATCACAGAGGATTTATTTCCAAGACAAAATTTAAAGGCCTTTTTATCTAAACTGATATGTACCTCTGTTGCAGTAAATATAACTATGAAGTCTTAAAAGATGATGCGAGTTTAATGAGTTCAACATCCTTATTTGTAGCGTTTTTAGCATTTCAATTAAGATTGTTTATATAACGAATTTTAAATAATTTCATCCTTCTAGATGTTTGCTAAGCACCTCTAGTGGGCCTCAGACCCTTGACTGAGAACCACTTATATATCAGATTGCACATCAAAATGATTTACAGTAGCCCTGAAAAGTACATTAACACCTTCTCAAATCAAACATCCGATATGCTGGATTCATTTGTTTTAGATTCTCTTTCCAAACTGCCTTATGTATTTATTTATTTATTTGTAAACATAAAACTACATTCATAAAAGGCAACATGTGAAAGTAATGCTCAACACTGAGTTTTTTTTAAATGCTATTATATTTTCATTTTCATATAACAATTTTTGAGTGGATTTTCATGTCCAGTATGCTGAACGTTTGGACTTTAAAATTGTACACAGTGTCATATTACACATTAACATATGTTCCATAACACTAACTTTAATAATGCCTAAGCTGCTCCAGGATGATGTAATTACAAAAAAGCTGTTCATTAGTTTCACTCACTGTTTACTCAAAAAACAAACAAAAAAAGTAATTATTTTAATTAAAAGTAATTAAGTATTAAACATCCATTATTAATATTTTATATAATAAACCTGTTAAAAATGCACATGCAGAAGACAGTAAAAATGCTGGGCTTGATTAATCTTGCAACACCAGTGAAAATACTCTGATTTAATACAATTATAATACAGTTTATCCCCATGAAACACAAAGATTGATTGCAGTTTGCTATTTAATGTGCAGCATTTGTTTTAACAATTTGTTTGCAAGCATGCCACTAGATTTAATGTTCTGAAATATGATGCAGACATTTATAAAAAACATTTAAAGTAACTTAAGTGTCCAAAAAGGTTTTGGGGGCGATGTATGCTTGTGAGATAATATAGCCAAAATAAAGATGTCTGACCTTGAACTGCTCCTTTGACTACAGTCACAAACCCTTTCCACAGATCCTCAGGGTCAATCTCTACATATCCAGGCTGAGGATAAAGTAGGGACACCTGTAACAAGGAAGCTGCTATCAGATTTCACACACTGGAAGGCACTGGCACAATCCTGACAAGACCTGCTGTCATTTACCTTCGTGGAGCAGGATCCCCTGATACTGGCGCTCTTATCGTACACATGGCACCTGATGGAGGTTGTTCCCACATCAACTGAGAGAATGAAAGTCTCTCGTTTGCTGAAGCCGTTTCTCTGAGTCCCCATTGCACAATGCGTTCATTCAGAAAGCCGCAAAGGTACTTTAGTCACCATGGCTGTGAGCATGTCAGGAAGGATCCAAACTTGAGTCAAATGATCCCGTTTTCAACTTTGCTCCGTAGACCTTTGAGTTTCATTCCTCCATAAACTTGAACGCCAGACCACTGGCAGATTTTTTAATCCGCTAAGAAAGCCGATTTAATGAGTTCACATCATTGTTCTGAAGGGGTGTTTTGAATGGACAAGTACTAATCGAAAGCATATGTATGTAACGTTATGTGTCCCCAAACTATCCCCAACTCGCGTATGAGATCTCGCGCCCTATTTTAAATCGGCAAACGAACTATCTACAGTTGCGTTACGTTGCGATTTAAGCCAAAAAACAGTCGTTTATTTTCACCAGTGAGTGATACAAGTTACCGAAAACAAGAAGTGGACGTGTTAACCTCTAGAAAGACCACAAAATACAGCAGGCGGTCGATTAAGTACAATAGTACAAATCAGTACGTCACACATCAGTCGATAGGTGTGGAGAGTTCTTAAAGAGACAGAGCACCATTTCAGAAGCCTGCTGACGTCATGTGCACTCGCTGCTAAATACCGGAAATACGTTAATGGAGCTGTTCGGAAATCGACCCTTTTTCACATTCCAGGGTTCTTCTCACAAGAGGTAATCTTCACAGTTGGGTGAACTTCTATAGTGGCGAAACTACAACAGATATCATTTTGCGTACCCATTTGTTCCAACAGGAATGGAATATATATATATCAATAAAAAGTAAACGTGTGATACATTTCATGAACTTTTTTTGAATAATAATAATAATAATTCCTTACATTTATATAGCGCTTTTCTGGGCACTCAAAGCGCTTTACATAGAAGGGGGGAATCTGGCGTTTTTGTGTATACATTTGTATATTACTTTGATCTTAATTTAACCATTTAATAGCATTTATGAGCCATGTGCTCCCTCAGGAATTTTAGAATGTTTGTCTTTTGATTTATGAGCAAATTAAAGTCTATGATTAACATTACCGGAAGAGACTTTTACATGTTGAAACATGAGTAACAATCATGCTTCAAATATGAATTTAGAAGCTGCAGTGTTTTTGCTAACAAGCTGCTCAGACAATCATTGCATTTCTTATAGCAACTTGTTAACAGATTTTCTGGGTTGGCCTTGAAATTGAGGTCCTAACTGAACAGCTTTATAAGCCAGGCCATTAGAGGCCAATTCTTTTTGCTTGTGTTGGATTTTTAAGGAAATAAAACATTTCAACATGTAAAAAGAGTTTCAAAAGGGAGTTCAAAATCACGTAAGCATAATCAAAACACCACTGAGAAACCCTAATAATGATCACAAGATCAGAGGCATTATGATAGCAAAATGTTTATTATGGTAACAAAATGTCTATTTACACTATGCACTCATTTTTTTTGTCATTCTGGTTTTAAGTCATTAAATAACCCAAATATTATTAAAAAACATAAGGGTTTACTTGCCCATTTGTTCCAACAGGAATGGAATATATATATATCAATAAAAAGTAAACGTGTGATACATTTCATGAACTTTTTTTGAATAATAATAATAATAATTCCTTACATTTATATAGCGCTTTTCTGGGCACTCAAAGCGCTTTACATAGAAGGGGGGAATCTGGCGTTTTTGTGTATACATTTGTATATTACTTTGATCTTAATTTAACCATTTAATAGCATTTATGAGCCATGTGCTCCCTCAGGAATTTTAGAATGTTTGTCTTTTGATTTATGAGCAAATTAAAGTCTATGATTAACATTACCGGAAGAGACTTTTACATGTTGAAACATGAGTAACAATCATGCTTCAAATATGAATTTAGAAGCTGCAGTGTTTTTGCTAACAAGCTGCTCAGACAATCATTGCATTTCTTATAGCAACTTGTTAACAGATTTTCTGGGTTGGCCTTGAAATTGAGGTCCTAACTGAACAGCTTTATAAGCCAGGCCATTAGAGGCCAATTCTTTTTGCTTGTGTTGGATTTTTAAGGAAATAAAACATTTCAACATGTAAAAAGAGTTTCAAAAGGGAGTTCAAAATCACGTAAGCATAATCAAAACACCACTGAGAAACCCTAATAATGATCACAAGATCAGAGGCATTATGATAGCAAAATGTTTATTATGGTAACAAAATGTCTATTTACACTATGCACTCATTTTTTTTGTCATTCTGGTTTTAAGTCATTAAATAACTCAAATATTATTAAAAAATAAAAGGGTTTACTTGCGATCTTTTAAAACTTGGACAAAAGAGATCTGGTAGGATACAAACACGTAGAGAAGATGAAAACAAAAAGGGTGCCGGCATAGAAATATTAACAACTGTTATTTATCCATTTGTAAAATGGTGCATATAAAATCCATAGATCTAAATACACAAAATTCATTTTAAAACCACAGAACTTAAACATCTTCCCTGGAAATAAAGGTAGGCTAATACAAAAATAAAACCAATTTGAAATGTTCACAATTCGAGCAACATCTTATTAGAAAGGCATCTTATTATCGTTTTTTTAAGTTTGCATCCCCTGCCCGACCATGTTTAGTCTTGTATACACACACACACACACACACACACAATAAATCCACAGAGATTACATTTGCTTAAATCAGTGTGCTTCCTGGCTTGGTGAACATAATGAGCTGGTTTTAACACCTGCTTTAGGTCTATGGAATATTCCATAGAATGCTTCCAACAAATCTTTGAGCATAGAACTGGTCTTAATTTGAACCTCTGAAACTAGATCCAAGGGTTCAGTCTGACAGCTTTACTGCTTTCCGAGTAACACCGTGTAATAATAGTATCTCTATCCTTCAGTGCTGGACTGCAACACTGTGCAATAGAGAAAAAAATGTAATGCGAGTACAGATGTTGTATTGCAGCAGCTTGTGCCACATCGTATCACTTCCTTGTGCATAACGTCCTGTCTACAAAACTAATTATTGCACTTTGAATATTAAAATCCAGCATCACAAAATAACCAGTGAACATGATAAAAGCTTAAAGGTCTGATTTGGGTCAAAAAAGAAGAAGAAAGGAAAACACTGAGGTAAATGTAAAACCCATTTCATGATTCTATGATCATTTTGGTGCAGTTATCAATAAAAATGTTTTCCAGCACTACCTTCACTCAAAACATGGCAACTAAAACGAATACAAAACTAATTCGATGCCAGTGACAAATACATTGTCTCACCAAACGATCGAATCATGAAGACGGACAACTGCATCTTGTGTCTTACTATGAAATGCCGGGGTTCTCCCTCGAGAGAGATGGACAGTGTGAGAAAATGCTTTCAGTCCGTCACTTTAGCAGCCTCGAAGTTGACCGCCAGTTTCCGGTGTTTCCTCTTGGAGGCTGAGCCGGGCGTGTGAGGATTGGTGTTCTGCCTGGGCGTCTTGGGTGTGGTGGGCTTATCTGCAGGCTCATGGGTGCTAATGGGTGGGGGGGTCTTGGGGGCTGATGCGGACACTGGGGCAGAAGCAGCAGCAGCCGGTCCACCGCCTGAGGTCTGACCAGCATAGGCAGAGCTTCCTGACATTTGCTTTGCCTCTTGGTTCTTGGTTCTGCCTGAAACTCGCTTCTTGGTCACCTAAAGACACAAAGGCATGTTATAGCTACAGTGAAATATTGTAGTGTAAACAAACTAAATACAAAAAAAATACAACATTCTATAATAACAACCTGAATACATGTGTGTACATATTCATTATTTTCTAAAAAGTTTTAAAGTATAGTTTATATTTATAAAAAGTTCAATTTTGCCTTAATGTATTTATAAATATCATACATGTTTCTGGGGAGTTCCACCACATGAATTTTTACAACCTGAACTAACCTTGACTGGTCATAAACAGATCAAACTACCTAACATTTTAAAAATACATTTTGACCTTGATGCACATTCATGAGGGCCATATAATTACCTGATATTCATGTTTTTTCTTTGCATGTCGTCTGCACCACATGATTTTGCAAATTTGTTCAATATTTTAAAACCTCTTTTTATATTTATTTGTGGCTCAAAATCTATTTATCTAACCCGCTTTGAGATGCTGAAAACACTGGATCATGAGCTGCACGTGTAAATGATCACAGTGCCAAGCTTCGTTCTGAAACACGCAGCGCAATGGACTATATTCATAATTAATAAAAATACACACTACTGTGTGTATCAACTTGATATCGGAAATGTGCAGTTAGTACCAGTGTATCGATACTATGGGAAATGAGTACTGAAACGGTTTCAAATGTTCAGGATTTATATGTATATTAAAAAAAAATCTATATTTTTGACAACATCATCAAGAAGTTCTCACCTGTAGGGGAACAAACTGGTTGTGGGATCCGCTGGCCGCTGATGGCACAGGGGCCCGTGCTCCAGGGAAAGTTCCTCCATAGAACGGCTGGCCCTGGTGGGGAAACCGCATCCCCCAGTGAAGAGGTCTGTAGCCATGTGGCGGCATCAGAAGACCACCTGTGTAAACAAAACATCAGATCAAGTGTAAATGTACAGAACATCTGCATTAGAACAACAGGATTTAACAGAAAACAGACAATATGACTCAGACCTGCTGGCTGACCAAACATGGAGGGATGAGGCGCAAGTGGCCTCATCTGCTGGACTCCGGGGAATATGGGAGGAGGCAGTGGGAACGAACCCAACGAGTTCTGCAGAAGACGATATGATTTCATTCGGCAGTCAACAAGGACTTACTAAAAATTATTGTAGAGTGTACTATATTCCATTAAGACACCATAATTCATTATATCACAAGAAAAGTCATGTAAGTACTACCATATACTGAATTCATCAGTTTTTTTTTTTTGAGTTGATACAAAACGATTACCAATCGTTGAAGGGCAAAGAGAGCAGCTTTCTCTTTAGCTTCAGTTTCAGATTGACACTGAGGACCGTGAATCAGCAGGCCATTAGACAACTTCACCTGACACACTGTGAGACTCTACAGAACAAGAAAAAGAGCAAATGAGATGGAAAGAGGCGGCGGAAAACATTAGGTCTTATTCACTGAACTACATACCAATGTGGGCTTGAAATCTGTATATGAACTTTCAATATTCATTCATCATGATGGCTTGGGTATTGAGCGTTTTGGGTATTAAGTTCTTCCTCCAACTTTCTGCTTAGAGTTCTTGTAAAGATCTAACCAAATTATGATTGGCTTTTTTGCATATCTATATTTATGTGGACATATGGATACGGTTCTTTTCTTTCTTAGGCTACACAGATATAGGTGGAGTTTGAGAGATGGACCAACCTGTCTGTTGCGGAGGAAGGCGAACTCTGGAGGTCCCATCCCAAGCCCCATGCATACCCGCCCGAGTTCAGTGGCCATGCTGGGGAGGAGGGGTGGCTGGCCAGCCAGAGGAGGAGGAGGAGGAGGAGCCGCTGCTGGCGCATCAGTCTGAGGAGTATTTATCCGAGCAGCTGAGAGACAGAGAACATTCACTT